GTGCGGTGGAGGCAATGAGAGACCAGGATCCAGGACTCACACCCTGCTGACTTTCCTCTTGAGATTGCCAGAGGTGTAAGGAACGACTCGTATGATCAGGAGGGGAGAATCTAGAAGAGCTCGTATCCCTTTTCCATTCCTGGGTTTATTTTTGGAGCAGATGTTCTGTTGCTCTACCAGATTCTATAAGTCATGCATACGCAAGTGTGCCAAGAGATTTAAGTGTCTAGTAATGCTAGTAACTTGGCATGGCTAAATTTGTGTCAGCAATTAGCTTCCGTAATAGGTTTTCCTGCGTATGTAATCGCTTGTGTGATTTATGTTCCCTGTGTTCATTTAGTCTGCACAGAAGCCTGGCCCGGCTTTGCAAGTCTTAGTCTCGGCATGTGCTGGCTTATTTCAGGCTGCTGCTGGAAACATCCTGCAGCAGCACAGGTCTGGCTGCAGCTCCAAGGTACGGCCGGGGCAGTGATCACGGGTTTTCTGTTCTTGCTGATGGTCTCGCTTTTCATGTTGGGTGGCATGTGGCAGGTTCCCTCTGTTAATTAGAACGAATGTGCCAATTATGTTAATGTATCTCCCGATACCAATCAGTGAATAATTAGAGACAACACATCTGTCTCTCACTGGGGAGTGGGATGACAGGAAAGACGCTACAAGGTATGTTGCTCTGAATTACAGCCGCCTTGGATCGTGTGCTTCCTCAGCCGGTCGTGGGGACAGCTCAGTCTCGTGTCGAGCTTGCCAGCGCATTAGCAGCACTGGATGTGTAGATCCAGGGCAGCTGGCAGGAGCCGTGTGCCTCACTGCTCTGCAGATTACAGCCAGAGCACTACGGAGCTCTGACCATAGAGTAGCTGACTTCGGGTATGCTCCACCTTCTCAGCATCCGCAGTCGCTGTGAGTCAGGATTTCTTTCACTGCGCTCAGACCTTTACAGAGGGGCCTTCTCTTGCTAGTCAGTTTGCAAACATATAACAAAAATACCTTCTTGAGTGGAAAACTGAAAAAAGAAATGGGGATTTTGTGCCTGCTTTGTTCCAGGGGGCTGATGATAAGTAAGAAAAAACAGTTGCATGTTGTTGTAATTTTCCATAGCTGTCATCTCCACAAGGGAACACTTACCCCATCATTCATGGCAGTATTGTTGCCAATTAAATGATTTGTGTTATGATAAGGAAAAACTGATGGCCAGGCTTTTTCTACGTATATGCACAGCCATCTGTACATTTATTAATAACAGTTGGTGGGATATGCTTGATTTAATTGAATAAATAGAGCTAGATACCTGTTCAAGAATTGTTGTGACTATAGCTAGTAAATATACATCCTCAATATTTAGGCAAAGCAAACATCTACTCTAGAAGCGTCTTCTCCAGAGAACTGAAAAATGGAGCCATGAGGTCATGATTTGGTATGACCCTGAAGACAGGTATCTTGTGCACTTTGAAATGCCCAAGGGTATCCTGCCGCCCCTCTGTCCGCTCTCCCAGAGGCGTGCAGGTCCCTGGCACATAAATGTCCGGTGCCTCATCTGCCAGCATCTTGCGAGCATGGTGGTTTCCCCAGGGCACCAGTCACCGTTATTCAGGCAGCAGAATTAAATTCAGGATAAGTTCCTGCATTGACAGCCTACTTCAACGAGGGGGCTGCACCTTGGGGAATGGCATGGCATCAAAAGAGATCATTGCTTTTAACTTCTGTAATAACAGTTTGCATACTTGTCATTCATAAATCACACTGTCTCGTTCTGCTTTGTACTCTTCTCTTTTGTATTTGACACCTGATCTCTTCCTATTTAGGTGACAGAACAACCCCGTTCCCACCTATTCTGGTTACCTCAAAAAAATAAATCAGAGGTTTGGAGGTGCTGAGCACTGCAGTCACCTGCACCAGAAAAAGTGTGGCCATTAATAACTGAAAATAAGTACCGACAAAAGCCTCATTTACATGTTGTAGTGTGTTTAATTAGTTACTCTTTCTACAAGGACTGGTTCCTACCATTCCTACAAACACAGCCACTGGAGGGGTGTGCTCTTTTTTATGTTGTTCTACTGATGGCTAAAGTGTATAGGAAAGGAGACTCCTGCCTCTTGTCAGATCATCCATCAGTTCCTCCCTTCAGATTTGACGGCATTATGGTTCGCAACATGAACAGACTTGTGGCATCATAAAAACCTGGATGCCAGAAGAAGACTGAATTAGATATATTAAAGAGGTATATTGTAGAAGTGATGGGGTTGACATGCATACACAGTACCGACGTACTGGCAAAACAGATTTTTCAGAAAAAAAGACATCCTGTTGTTCTGCAAACTTAATGTTTTATTGTTAGCAAATTCTGTGAGCCATTAGGTGAAAAGGATCTTTTTCCTAAGAGATTTGGTGAAGAGCCAGAGGCAGTATATTGAATTATGAAGAGTATCTTTTTTTTCTGATATTGGCAACTCCCATTTTCATATCATCTTTGGTGTTTTTGCAGGGATGATAGGGAATTTAATGCTCATAGCTTTAATTTTGGCTAATCAGCTGAGACCCAGACTGAATATGCATGTGTGTGTTTTTGTGGAGAGAGAAAGTGTTGCAGAGTACAGAGAAGAGAGAACCGTGTGCTTGAGCATGGAGCCTTGCATAGTGCTGAGGGCTGCTGGAGTATGTGCTTGGATGGGCATACCAGAAACATTTGGGACTGAGCCTTAGACCATGTAGACTGTAGTCCTGTCCTTGCTGACGTCCTGATGTCCTCAAGGTGCAGAACACAGGGAAAGTACAGGTGGATTTGAAGGTGGTCTGTACACAGCTGTGGCAGTGCGTGTAGCATCTTTTAGTCCTGGCACAAATCTGTACTCTATCCCAGAAATAAATAATGGTATTAAGACCCAAGAAAGGTGTTTTGTTTGTGTGAGAAGCCTTAGACCATGTAGACTGTAGTCCTGTCCTTGCTGACGTCCTGATGTCCTCAAGGTGCAGAACACAGGGAAAGTACAGGTGGATTTGAAGGTGGTCTGTACACAGCTGTGGCAGTGCGTGTAGCATCTTTTAGAGTCCTGGCACAAATCTGTACTCTATCCCAGAAATAAATAATGGTATTAAGACCCAAGAAAGGTGTTTTGTTTGTGTGAGAGACAGGGGTTAAGTGGCAGCCTACCACTGGTGGAGAGGTAAGCTCCTGGCTTGTTTTTCAGTCTGGGATGCATGCAGACTTGACCTGTGTGTGAAGAAGGAGCTAAATACTGCCACTGACTGAACAGGAATCTGTCTGTCTTGATTTTACCGGATACCTATTAGGATGCAAGAAAGGAGGAAGAACAATTTTAGTCATCCTGGCAAGGAAAACCAGGTTATTGACTAAGAGCTTGTATCTTCCATGGTAAAACATGAATGTTGTAGTGACAGAAACACAACCTCCAAAGTTTTATGTCTTTTTTCTTCCTTCCCTGTTCCTTACAGACACACATATCCATTTCCACAGCCCTTTTTGCACCAGTGATTTTAAGCTATACAGTATCGATAGTTGTGAGGCTACCACATACTGCAGCAATCTGCTGTGGGACAGGGGGTTTTAAATCAAGCCTTCCTCGGGGCGGTGGCTTTACATTCACTAACATGTACATCTTTGGAAGCAGCTCACACCTGATGCACATCTGCCCAAACTGGGGTAGGGGAACTGGAGCTACTTAAAGCAGGGCTAAATATGGGGCGTGGGTGGTGGGCAGCTTGAATTCAAGCCCGTGTCCACCAGCACTGGTCATGCAGCCTTGGACTAGCTCCGTCCAGGGATGAATTGAGCCTTTCATGTTTAACACTGGGAGAGGCCATCGGTTTTCTCCCCACAGCTCGAGGTGGTCTGTTCGGCTGTCTTGGGGCAGGGGAGCAGGTTCTCTGTTGGTTTTGGGGTATGTCGATGCTTGGGCAGTTCCTCAAATGTCTTTGGAAAAGTGGGGTTTGTGACAGCAGGTCTTGGCAGTTAGCACCTCATGGGTCCAGCAGATTGATTGTGTTTATGTTTTTCTTCCTTTAATTAAATCCTGGGCACAAGCTGAAGTGATCCAGTGACATGAAGGCCCGGCTTTGATCCATCCAGGGCCCCAACCCCATCCTTCAGAGCACGCTTAGTTCAAATGAAAGCAAACTACTAGGTTTGCAGCCAAATTATATTAGGGTGGCTCACAGCAGTCAGCTGGGATATAATAGGGTGTTTCTTTAGGAAGTCAATAAAGACAACATTGTCTAGATTAAAAATCACATATGAAAATATTTTTCTGTGTAACCAAGGAAATTACGCTTTATTAAAATAAAATATAGCTTACATAAGGGAAAAATAAGCACTGATGTAGGCTTTGTGATTCCCTATTTCCTTGGTAACTGTCTCTATTTTGTTTAATCCTGATAGCAGCAAAACAATAACATGCATGTACCTGTGAGTGCATGTATACTTAAAACACTGGCGTGTTTGTAATTTGTTAGTGTGACCTACTCTGGTATAGGGCCTCATTGTGCTAGACCCAGGACAGGTACATACAAGGTTACTGTATTATTAACTGCCTAATTAGGCAAGACGTACAAAAGAATGGGTGAGATCTCTGTTGTTTTAGTGCTTCTGATGTTGTAAGGGAATTTTCTGTTTGTAGATATGGTCCCAAGTTATCACCCCTTTCTTATCCCTTGTCTCAGACTCAGATCAGCTGTTTGTCTCTGTACAGTAGCTGGCAGCCTTTGAAAACGCATTGCTATTTTCAAGGCAAGGCAAGACAGCTGTTGTGTGGATGGGTGGGAGGGAAGGGGACCTGAAGGGAAAGGGTAGGCGTGAAGGGTATTCTCCTGCGTTTCTGCCGTGGTGTTTCATTTCAGTTGGCATCGTGCCTCAGGTGAGTCCTTTGTGTTATGTCTTGACTCATTGCGCTTTCTGGGATGAGCAGTGTAATCCCAGATACTGTTCCTGTTGTGATGTGACCTGGTGCTGACTCGCTGCCTCCCCTCTGGCCCTTTGAAACCCTAAGGTGGAGTGGCTGAAGAACGAAGAGGTGATTGATCCTGTGGAAGACCGAAATTTTTACATCACCATCGATCACAACCTGATCATTAAGCAAGCCCGGCTTTCTGACACGGCCAATTACACTTGTGTTGCCAAAAACATTGTGGCCAAAAGGAAAAGCACCACAGCGACTGTGATTGTCTATGGTAAGTGATGCCTTGTCCCACTGCAAGTGGGTGGATGCACGCTCAAAGCGAGCAGTGGCACAGGAGGGGGATGCAAAATGCCTGTATGCAGCTCTTACTGTGGTGAGTGACCAGGCTGGGCCGCCTGTGCTGCCTCTTGACTTGCAGCCATATGCAGCCACTGCAGTCGGGGTTCATTACCGAAAATACTCAGAAGTACAGATCTGATGGCTTGGCTTATTGGTGACAGACAATGGTGTTAAGGGAGGAACAGGCACCTACGCAAACAGCTGGTTGCCTCATTGAAGAGAAGGTGATCGCTCCTGTTGCCATAACACGCACCAGCTGAATGCAGCGAGGAGCCACTGGGGCTCTTCCTCCAGCAGGAGCATCCAAGGCATTGCTTTCTACCAGCACATTTCACGTTCTTAGTGTCACTTTTCAGAAATAAGAGTAAAACTGGGAGGCAGTTTGTGCTTCCAGATACTGGTAAGAGTGTCAGAGCACAGCAGAATCTTCCATCTTATATCTCTTTAAATACACTTATTTTTGATGTCTACTGCCAAAACATGCTCTGATGTCAGGGGCAAAGCACTCTGGGACTGCAGTTCATAGGCACGCAACCTAGCTTAAAAATAAACATCAGGGGACTACAAAGCACGGGATAACATTATTCTGTGTCTGCATCCGCAGCCTCGATCTAACATTGACGATGGCCGTGCTTTGGCTGGGGAGGTGCCGGATGAGATGCCTTCCTGGGGTCTCTTCCAGGCTGTGTTGTGCTGCAGCTCTGCCCCACCGTTTTTTTTTGCCCCTGCAAAGTTACTGCCCCGATGCGTCCCAGGCGGGGATATCCACCAGAACAAAACCTGCTCTGACGACGTGCCAGCTGACTGTCCTGGTGTTCCTTACAATCAGCTTAATTATAGCATAGACAAGTAGGAAGAAATCCCTATGATTATCTCTAATATTCATTTCATATTCAGGGTAGCAGTTAGATTTAATTGTAAGCAGTTGCTTCCCTGAAGTTACAATGAGGGCCTTTTAGTTCAGTTTTTATAGAAAACCGACTGAATTGAGTTGATTAGCAGTGTTTGTGATATTGAGGGATGGACCATGCAAGAGCACTGTGGTTTGTAACTGTGATGAATGCAGAAACATAAAGATGTAGGCATACTGCAAGTCTTCCTCATGCATATACAGCATTTTTTTCAACAGTGCAGTCAAGAGACATATGTAGAGGACCAGCCGTTTTTATGGGGTTTGCTACCAGAGCTGCTTAAGGGTTGTGCCATATCAGAAACATTTGGGTTCAGTGAATCTGAGCAGTTGGTATGTTAGCCATACCCAGACGATGCCATTAGTACATAATGCAGCACAGCTCCTTCTTCATCCATTCATCTATCCCAGAAACTGAGGTGGATGAAAAAAGAGAGTCATCATAAATATCTTCCCAGAGATAAATACCTTCCCAAAGTCCAATAATAAAAAATGTGTGAGTTCACTCTGAACAGCTTAAGTATCTGTTATGGAAGTGCTAGGACATTCATATACACCGGCTATGTCCATAGAGGGGTGAGTGAAGTTGTCCTGATATCCTGAAATCACCTTCTGGAAAGAAAGGGAAAGAAAATTATCAATTTCTAATCAAAGCATGGGGGTCTCTCAGCATGCAGAGGTGATGGGTACATCTGAGAATGAGCTCTCGTGCAGGTTATCTCCCTTTGGAAAACGGCGCAGCTTTCAGAGTGCAGGCTCCTTGACTGGCAGAGCTGTGGGTGCTCTCTGAACCTGCAGAGATTTTGGCCATACACACGCCACCAGGTGCTTAGTGCTGGGTCAGGTCAGTTGTCAGGAGAAGGCAGGTCACCTGCCAGCCGTAATAGTCATCAAATGGTGTTTTTCATTCAGCATCAGCATTTCTTCAACTTGTACAATGACTTCTGGCATCCTGTACATTCGGTATGTTGGAGACATGGGTTTGTGTTTGTTCAGTGTTGCTTCCCATGCTCTTCCCAGCCATCACTTTTGACCGCTGTTGGAGGCAGCATGACAGAGCCAGGGGCGCCTTCGGGCTGAACAGGATGGCTTGCTTATGCGATCATGCTCTTTCTCTCTTGCTTTTCAGTGAACGGAGGCTGGTCTACCTGGACTGAGTGGTCAGTGTGTAACAGCCGCTGCGGGAGAGGCTTTCAGAAGCGTACGAGGACCTGCACCAATCCTGCCCCACTCAATGGTGGTGCCTTCTGCGAGGGCCAGAGTGTTCAGAAAATAGCTTGCACCACTCTGTGTCCAGGTTCAGTATGAACAGTACATAGCCCTAGATAAATAGTTTGTCACCAGTCATTTTAGGAGAAGACTATTAGTTACAAAAGCCTCCTTCTCTTTTTTAATAAATCCAACATTGCAGTGAATGAATATGAAATTATATTACATAAGTAGATAAAATAGTGAGCACATTATATCAAGCGGCAGAGGACTCAGACCCACTTTTGCGGGCAGCTTGCACTAGTGTCTCAGCCCTGGTAATTCAGGGGATTTGAGGGACATTCAGAGCTTCAAATTGTAGGAGATAAAGGTTGAAAGCTCTGGAAAAGGACTGAACTTTGAATATAGAAAGCAACTGTGATGTAAATATATTTGCAATGTCTCTTCAGTCCAGCTGTCACAGAAAGTGGAGCATCTGGGGTGTGGATGTTAAATTTGAGGCACGTGTTTACCTGACTTCAAATACAAAGACATTTATACTGGAAAGAGATGTGTATGCATACCTTTAAAAGGTATTTAAGTGTAAACTTCTGAAAAATACAAAATTGCTTCAGGACACACAAAGTACTTGGTGGCTTTTCTGTGACAAGTTCTGCCATCTGTCCTGTTGTCCAGTGCTTTCCTACCTTTGCAGTCCCACCCAAATTGATGGCAGTAGGGTTGTCTTCAGCTTGTGAAGCTTGGCCATCCAACTCTGGGTCTTAGTGGTGGGTGAAACTTAAAAGCCGAAATTTCATCTCAGGTCACTATTTCAAGTGACAGACTCCTGGCTCAGGCTGTGTCACTGCAAAAATTTCGTAGTTTGTTCTTCGGCTGTTCAATTTAGTGCTTTTGAAAATCATTTGCGGGATTTTGAAAGGCACTAAACACATTCCTGATTCTGCTCATGTGAAATAGATCAGTGCCTCTAGATATTCCTTTTAATAGAAAATATTTAACATTAAATACCTTCCTACTAAAGAAGAATTTCTGGCCAAGTTTAACTTTAACTTCTGTGTTAAAAAAAAATCACAGATTCCCGACTTTTTTACTTTCTTGTACACTTTGAGCACAGATTAACTGCTGACAAGTTTATAAAAAGGGGAGGAAAGAACAGAAATGGGGCTGGGGCAGAGAGAAAGGAGAGGGAGAGTGAATGTGCATTTACAGGCCCAAACCAGGACTTTAAGAAGAGCAGACTGACGATCCTTCTGCCTTCCTGGAAATGGCCAGGAGTTGCAGGCTGGCTTGTGCCAAGATGTGCATCGCTCTTGCTTGGTCTCACTTTTATGTACCCCATAACAAGTCATGTCCTTTCCTTGTCTCAGTGGACGGCAAGTGGACGTCCTGGAGCAAGTGGTCCACCTGCGGCACGGAGTGCACCCACTGGCGCCGGAGGGAGTGCACAGCCCCGGCGCCGAAGAACGGGGGGAAGGACTGCGAGGGGCTGGTGCTGCAGTCCAAGAACTGCACCGACGGGCTCTGCATGCAGGGTAAGTGCCGCTGTGACGCCTCTGGGGTCTGAGATGTGTGTGGCTACAAAAAAACTGCAATAGCTGCAGATCAGCATCAATGACCTGAAGTCACAGAATCATTTGTAGGATGGAGGAATGAGTTAATCCAGTTCTTACCAGTCTGGACACCCCACACTTCTTCCCTGAAGATGAATGTAATGCTGTCTGAGGTTTATGAAGTTGAGCAGTGAAGAATTAGAAAGTCTCATAACAGAACCCTCTCCCTGCTGCCCTCCCCACCAAACAGCCCTTCTCTCTAATACCGGCTCAGCATCTGTCCAGGGAAGCTTGGCAGTGACTCTTACGACAATGCAAATGAAAAATAGAACGTTTAGGGCAAAGCCAGCATTTTCAAAAGAGTGAACTTGGCAAAGCAGATTAGCTTGTGGCTTCTGGCCGTCAGGAATAGTGGGTGCATGTGTTTCTACATATAATAGTTATGCCCCTTTTTGAATTTGGGGTGCCCTGTAGTAGCAAGAAGTACCCTGTATCTATGCAGTGCCTATGCAAACTTCATATATAGTTATCAGCATGCTGCAGCCTCATGAAGATCAGCTCTAGCACTGAAGTCTATTCTGCCTGCGCCTATTCGTGCCATGGTCCTGCCTTTGTGACTAATAAGAGCGAGAAGTAAAAAAAAGTAGGCTTTTAGTGTGATTCTGACATATGCTGACGAACCATTAGTCTTCTCTGCACCCCATCCCTTCTCAAAAATGAGGTTTTCTCTGTTCTGCTGGTGCATTGAAACTTCCTTTCACATTTTGTTAGCACAATAACCTAAGCTAAAATCCTCACATACACCTCTCTCCTGTTCCTTCATCTTGTCTCTCTGCACTACTTCTCTGTCAAGCCTCAGCTGTTGCCCAAAGAGCTGTGGCTGGAACTATCTGGTATCTGTGTGTCCAGGTCATAAAATGCTTTGAGTTCTGTCATGAAAAAGGAGTCAGGAATTTTTGTTCTCTGAGGCAGGTTAGTTTTGACTGAAATAGTCACGATGACAGAAGAGTGACACTACTAGCTAATAAATAGGTCTACTTCTTGAATAAGTGCCATATAGGTGGCTACTGTGCCAGCAGTGATCTCAGAGCTACCCTGTGGCACACCATGGCCATTTGCTCTGAGATTTCTCAGATGTACAAAAAAGGCTTCTTCAGCATGGCTCACACAAACGTCCATCACTTTAAAAACTATTAGTCAATGTCAGCAGGCTATAAAGCTGTAGTTCCTCAGAGTGTTTGTTTTTATGGGGAAGACAGAAAGGTGAGATTCAGAGCTCCTCTCTTTTTCTTTTCTAAAGATAGGGGAAAAAAAAAAATCCAGCCATGTCTTACTGTATAACACCTTGGCGACTTTTATAGTGGGGAAGCTAACATACCCCTAGCTCCAGTGGTGTGAATAAGTCATTATGGTAAATTAGGAAGAAAAGATACATTTCCCTGTACAGAAGAGCTCTTCACTATCAGATTATATTTAGACAGGTGTATGTCATCTTTGTGTATGTGCATAAAGAGGCCATTTAGGCAGGAGTCTTGTGGAAAAGTAGATATAATGGTACGGCAGAATAAAAGCCCTGTAGGGATCTCATTTATCTGTTGATGGTATGCTGCTTTTTATTTGTGAAAGTGGATGCTGAGTATAAAGCAGAGGTCTTCAGCGGGAGAGAGGGTGAGGCTGTTGTGAATCCTATTCTGCTTCATATATATGTACATAAAAAATGGTAATGAAAAATATACAGTCACATATTGACCTGCTTGGCTCCAGAGGCTGTGATCATCCTTCAGTGTTGGAATTTAATGGCAGTTTTAATGGTGTCTTTATACTCGCGGGGTTTCATATACCTGTAAAACTTACAGTCCTGCTCCCTTATCCATCACTGCTGAGAAGATTGATTTCCCGTACTTGGTGGCAGCGTGCCTGCTGCTCTCTCTTTTTCTTTCTTTCTCCTTCTCAGTTTATGCAAACCCAGTCTGAACACTTACATTTTTGCCAGTGTGGATCTAGATTCATAGCAAATCTGCCTGCTGAGCTAAGAAGAAATACAGGACTCCTTTCATTCCTAAACCACCATGCTTCTTGCCATGTTATTTGAGGCTGGTGGGGACTGACTTGGCACTGACATTTCTCCTAGCCTGGGGACATGTGGATCCACATCAGACTTTTCCAACACCTTCATGCCAGTGGGTCTGTTGTGGCACAGGTGGCACGGGGGGGAACCACAACTACCTTTTCTCTGTGGCTGTAGCCCTCTGGGAGATGTTTTGGCCAGCTGCTTACCTGCACCATAGCCAAATCCTGCTCCTGTGTGCCCTGGTGCTTCCTCCTTAGTGTCAGTCTTTAGTGAGAGCTTGAAGGTGGACTTTACCACCGTGAGTGTAGTTGACAGACAGTAGACAGACCCTTTTACCAGGAGTCACTAGGCTGTTGCTTTGACAAAAACCCACTTGTAAATATATCTCTCTATATAGCTGTACATAAAAGATATCCTGGAAAATGTTGCATTGAATGAGTCTAATTTACAAGCCCTTTCTCTTCCAGTCTATTATTCACTACAGTAGCATCAGCTGGATAAATCAATAAGCTCTTTCATCAGACTGCCCCTGCTCCAGCAAAGAGCAGCAGTCTGCACCACTATCGATTTCTGTGGGGATAAAAACTGTGGAGCTTTCTCCATCCCTTGTAATTACAGTATTTTACACCCAAAGCTGTAGTTTGTGCTTACCACTAACTGTGGCATTTCTCGTGCAACTCTGCTGTCACATTTATTCAGACTAATGATCTTGCTAGTACACACATACACTCCCTCATCCAGTAGTTAGTATTTTTCTGTTAACATGAAAGGATTAACAGTCATTAAAATAGAGAGCCTGCAGAGAGACAGCAGGCTGAATTGAAGAAGAAAAGCAGCTGTAGTGAAAATTTAGGGCGGTCATTACTATTTTAAGTTTCCAAATACACAATATTGCCTAGCAGGTCCCATTATAACAATTTTGTAATTCCCGTAATAGCATTAATATGATCTTCTGGAACAAAATATGCTGTAGGTGTAAGAAGAATTGGCTGGTTACCACCCACACTAGTTGCATTATTGCCTCCATAGTTGCCTTATTTCCCATTTGAAGTACGAGTACTGTGGTAAATACTTCAGTCCAAGGAACAACACTTTTAAAGGCAGGCATTGCATGTCACAGGGGATCGCTATAAACTGAAACACTGCAATTAGTCCTGCACTCATCCCACCTAATAACTTTGGTGGGCGTTCTGTGTGGGGACTAAGCAAGCAAAGCACTCCACTGCTGGCTCAAACTTCAGTACAAGTAATTCCCTTCACTAAATAACAAATACGTTTAAAGCAAAGTACGAGGGGAAGTGTTTTGCTGGGCCCAGTCTGGAATGACTGAGAGATCATGTCTGTGGTACCAAGCAGATGCTGCTTTGCATTATGTGTAAAATGCTGCTGCTAATCAGGAGGAGATGGACAACCTATGAAGAGAGTTAGCTCTGTTGCATGGCTGTGCTGAAGGCTCATTACATGAGTTGTGACGTGCAGCTGTCATGCTCAGAGCATGTCACCTGTGTCCTTTCTGTTGAGGATCTGAAGTGACAGTGTTCAGATCTGTATTCTCCCTGTCCTGAATAAACAAGTATAGAAAGTCCGTAGCCATGAGATTGGTGCCTGTACATGCTGGTAAAGCTGTTGGTCTTTCCTGAAATTATGCCTGTGGTGCACAGGGTTGGCATTAGCACAGCCGGAGGGCGACAACCAGTGCCCCTTCTTCAGCTCACTCTCAGCTTTAGTAGACCACTGTGGTTTTTCATAAAAGGCTGGCTAAGTTGTGCTTTCAATTTTTTCCAAAACACAGGGCTAGCTATCTTACAGCAGCAAGGTAATACCGAAGCACATGTTGTCGCTTGAGGGCTATGGATTATATAGTTAACATAAATAGTGCTGTTGCTCTGTGTGGTGAAAACTGTTCACGGTCTCACAATATGGAATACAAATCTGTCATTGAATAGGGCCAAAAGGAAATTCCCACTTGTGAATCATTGCCAAGTGTCATCAGATCCAGTGTGGACTGTTTCTTTGTTGCTTTGGATTTAAATAAATGAGCATGAAAAGACTGAGATCTGCTACTATCACTTAAAGAATGGAAGAAAATATTCAAAACATCTTCATCTGTCGTTACAGACAACACTCTGGACTAACTCTCAGGTCACTTTGGTTCTCTCCCTTCATGTAGTTTAAGTACTTGGAAATTCAAATAGCGAATACACCATTTGAGGAAAAGGCACCTATACCATGGTGAAGATGTTATTATCAGACCAGTAATTCTGTTCCTCGTTAAAAAAAGGCTGCCTTCTAGTCAAGAGTGAATTGATGTGAAATGATGACGGCAAATCTGTATTTGCCGAGCGCTTTGAAATCCTCATCTGAAAGGCAGTATGAAGTTCACAAGGTTCCCTCTTACAATGATAGTGCCTAAGCGAGTGAAAAAAGATGGTTTGTCATGCTTGTGCACGAAATGGTTAACTGCTGCCTTTTTCCAGTCTCGTGCCTGCTTATACACAGGTCTCGAGTAGAAAGCAAGATTAACCTGATACTAACATCTCTTTCTTCCCAAAACATATATATTCTGCACATGCCCTGCTTGTTTAATGTAACATGCCAGAACCTCCGATGGAAGCATTCATTTCCCTTTTTGGCTTGTTTTGAAAGCAGGCATTCAGGGAAGAATTAGATGGCAGAGCAGTTTGATGAGGACCTCTGGTCCTCTGGAGCAGATTAGTGTGCAAAGAGCAGGGGAATGTTTTCCAGACTCCAGGAGGTAAGCAAAGCTTTCTCAAGGGAGACTGCAACAGAAGCCTGTGTGTGCAGAGGAATGAAATAAAACCTTTTATTAAGAGCACGTGGGTCAAGAGAGAACTTCTAATGCGTTCAGTCTGTCAGCATAATGATTTAGCCACCTGGCCTGTTTCACTGA